AAGCAGTTCGTAAAGATGAAACCTGGATCCCGACGAAACACAGCGCCATATGCAGTGTACATTTCGATACTACCTGTTTTAATACTAATGCAAAGAAACAGAATATGACACTAACGAAGGCAGTCTCATTGCCCATAAAGGCAAGGGAAAACTGAAATTTCCCTCAAGTGATACCATAGCACATATTTATTAGCACTGCGAACTCGAACTTAGGAAGGGTGTTCAGAATAAAAGACTAAAAAAATTACACAACAGACTTTCTTCTGCCGAAAGTAACAGAAACATTGCTGCAACTTCCGTTGTACGAAGACATTCATTTCCATAAATTTGAAAATGACGACGTGAATCACGTCGAGGAATTAACGAAAGCCGTTGCTGAAAAGTATTTAAACATTAAAATTGCTTATATAAGAAAACAAGCGAACACAAAAAATTCTAAGAAACACATTTTAAGAAAGATGATAAATAATAAAAGTCAGTAAACCTACTAAAATAATTTAAACTTAACAAAACATTTGACGTTTTGTTAAGTTTAAAGTTAGTAAGTTTATCATAACTATAATTGAATTAAGTCCATAAAATGTCCTGCTTCTTTTATTTTAATTAAAATTTAAATACCGGAAGCTTACCTCACCTTCATTACCTCTTTATTTCCTTTGTTTTACAGCTTATTTACGATACGCATTTTCTTTTTCATTCGTTCATCGATATATTTTATCGGCTACGATCAAGCACTACATACATACATAAATACATAGAGTAAACTTCTACGAATTTCGTATCTGTGTTTATATTAACGTAATAAAATATTCGTGTGCGTTATTCTCCACTTGGTTGAACGAGTTTTCATACATTTGTGTTTTATGTCGGGTCCAGTGGTTAATTCGTTCCAGCATTGAACCTACCAATTTGCTCCTACAAATTGCTCTACCAAAAACGTATTAACGTATTAACAATTAAAATATTAATACGTTTAATACGTAAAATTTAATACGTTGTTAAACGTATTAAATTTTACATATTAAGTCCGTCCTTTGTATTATTTAGTCTAAGTAAAAAATATTTAATTGTGCAGTGTGATGGCGTCCACATCGTGTTTTCGTCCCGTCATTGCCATCTGCTGTCATATAACTTCCTGTAGAATCTTCTAGTTTCCGTCAGACGTAAAATTATGGAGTGTAAGTGTAAGGAGTACCAACTCCCATAGTAGAAGAAAGTGGCAATCTGTAAGCAGTAAATAACAGTTCAAAAACTATCAAAAACTCTCCACAACAGCGCTGGAGTAGCCACTGGGATGAAATAAACTTAGCAGTTATCGACGGTTTAAATCTGTCGCTCTAAAATCAAAAATAATTTTAATTAGTGAATATAACCTCGAAAAACTCGTCTATCCCACTAATATTTTTCGGTGCGTTCTTTAAAATTTACCCCGTAGTTATAGTGGCGCCATCCTTATTTAATGGTTTATATGGACACTTTTTAATATACAGTCTGTACTCCTTACTTCTACACTCCATACGTAAAATAAACAGACCGAAGATGCAGCAAGATTAGCAGCCTTAAAATGTGCGCCCAAGCTTGGCGATTGAGGTAAATCTTTCATAAGCGGGTGAGACTAAGCATGACGTCCAGCTGTTGACTTTTAGGGGATAGTGAAGTATAAAGATAAAAGACAAGACGATAAATGAAAAATAATTTCCACGAGGTCGTTGATTTAGTTTTTGCATTCAAATGTTAATATAATCAAAGAAAAAACATTTTCCAGTGGTGAAATATTGGCCAGAGAGTATTGCTTTCTCATAATTTGTTCAGTATAGTGCTCAATCATACACTGTTCAGTTTGATGTCTACTAAATTTCGGGAATATTTCAAGGTAATATATATAGTGGTATTTTCCTTAATTTGTACGTCACGTATCAAAACAAATTATTTCTTGATATCTTAAATACTTTGTTAACATTTTTTTAACAAAACTAAACGTTGCGTTGTTCCCACACTAGAAGTATACTTAGTAGAGGCAGTTTACAAATATAAATTACATAAGGACAAACATCTAGACCCGGAACAATTATTTATAGGCCACACAAATACCTATTCCGTGCGGGATTCGAACCCACGGCCCTCACACACACTGCTAAGCCACTGCAACACAGAGCTGTCAAGTTATTAGTCATTTAGGTTATAAATTATAAATTCTTGTATGTATCTATATTATATTATATGTGGCGTATGTGAATTCGAAACCCAATTGCAGCTAATTACAAAACATTAAACACGTAACATTTTAAGGTCCTCAGGGCCTAAAACCACAAAAATGTCTTATTATTATCCATTATTCGTTGCCTTTTTCATTGTCAACCTACTTATTAAGTAAACTGTTGGACAAAGGCCTTTTCATAAACAGAAACGGCTCCTAACTCCTTAGTCTTATACCAGTAATTTATTTTCGTTACAATAACGATTTCATTATAATATAAATAATACAAAAAATAACTACAAATCTATGATATAACGGGACATATGCGAACTTGTTCCTCATATCTTAAATCATAAATAAAATGGGATAAAATGATTGATGGATTGATATTTTTTATAGAATAAGGGTGACAAACGAGCACACAGTTCACCTGATGGTAAGTGGATGTTGTGGCCTATAGACAACTACATCTATCCTCGATTACAAATCAATGCAATGCAGATGTGTTGTCACCCGTGAGCACTAAGATGGATTGCCTCGTTTCCAGTAAAAAGGGTCTCCGGTACTCTACACTCACTATACGAAACACAGCAGCATAAAGCTACTATTTTACGCTGTTATTCCTTGAGAGCGTGGTCCTTCCCCAGTCGAACCGACCCATTCGTGCTACATCTATACTACTAATATAGCTGCAGCATGGCTCTACCACGTATAACTGTCTGCGTTGAACTACAAATATTGCCGAAAAAAATATGTAAATCGGCGTACGGGTTACGGAGGAGATAGATTTCAAAGAATCGTTTTCTTGCGCCATGGGAGCTCTGCTAGTTCCGCCTCAATGAAGAAAGCTACAGGTGCATTGTCACCTCTAAGGATTAAGTCATAGCTTGTAATTTTACTTGCTCCCTATATCCTTCAGACCGGAATACAGCAGTATATATATATATATATATATATATATATATATATATATATATATATATATATATATATATATATATATACTGCTGTATTCCGGTCTGAAGGATATAGGGAGCAAGTAAAATTACAAGCTATGACTTAATCTCTCTCTCTACTTTATAATTTATATATATATAAATATATATATATATATATATATATATAAATATATATATATATAAATTATAGAGACTTTGGAAAACAAAAATTATAAGGCGACGCATAGAAATTAAAAAGATTTATAGTTTAGTAACTAGTAAATTAAAAAGTTATATAGTTTAAGATCTTTCATATATGCCGTTAGCTAATTTCATTTTCTTGGACAGCTCACTGTAAATATTTGTATATTCATTGTATAGATTTAAACAAACATGTTATTAACAAAGATTTGGCAACAGAAGCTAAGGTATTAATAATGAAAATTGTTGGAATATAAGCGTAAATGTTTCGAATGTGTTTGTGTGAAAAGAAGCCGATAATATATTGTTCTATTTGGTCATTCTCAATTTTTACCATGTTCTGTTATTTATTGATTAAATTGTAACTATATCGAATATTTATTTATTCAAATATAGTTTATATTCAGAGATAATTTTGTTTCAAAGATAGCATTTAATCTTCTTATGTAAATGCAGCGACAGAATATCGTACTCAAATAAATGTATTAGGGATTGAAAGCTGAATTGATGTTTAAAATTGGAATTTTAAAGTTCTGAATCTGATAATTGTTTGGTCATAGTTGGAGGTGGGAGTACAGTCTGCAAAAAAGCTGCAAAAACGCTCGACTAGGGCAAAGTATTCAGCCTTGTCGAGCGATCGACGCAACTGCTATCGCGTGATTTAGGCTTCGGTTATAGTTCATTCTGTTTGGGTTATGTAACGGTGACAGTGTCATCGAAATTGCGTAACGGGTTCTTGATTCAAATTTCGGCCGGAGCCATCATAGGTTCAAAAACACAAATTGCTAATTTTCTGGCCGTGCTGTAAATATCTACCACCACTTCCGCGTTACAGAGGCAAGGGCGGATAATATCAGATGTGCAGTGACCCAGTGGTATTATATCTTGCTCCAAGAGCTCCACTTTTAGCAGGGTCTGGGGAAGATTTCCATACTTATTCGGGTTAGAGAGGGAGGCCTAACTCCCTTCGGAGGAGTGACGCTGCATACTTAACCTACCTTATCGCATAAGAGCCACACGCTCAGCGATTTACATCAAGAGATTTACTGGTTGATAAATAAGAAGAAGATATACCGCATGATTAATAATTTCAAACAGTATTCAAAAGTTGTCACCGCAGGTTAAACCTACAAACAGAAATTAATAATCCCACCATAAATATAAATGTAAAAAAGGGGCCAAGTTCACAATGTACGAACGAACGGGAACGTTTTAAATATTCTTTGTATGATTTAAGGAAGTGTTAAAATCTTAACTTTAGTATTCTATCACATACATTTTTTACACCTAATATCAACAATTGTTTACATATTTTATCTTTGTATACACCTAATGATTTACCTTTCTAAGTTACCTACAATTGCCTTAGATTTTAAATTAGTTAGTGAAGGAATCAGTGAATTAGTTGTCAGTGAATCAGTGAGCGTAAATGTATATTTTAAAGGGTATTTTATTACATACAAAATTACGTGTAGTAATTTTTGAGTAACAGTTAAAAAGCATGTAACATTTTCTTTTTTGAACTTGGAAGACAGTTTGCCGTGTAACTATATACATATTTCATCAATAGTGTACAAATAATCATAAACTAATAAAATTCCTAAATATTTATTTGTCGAAATTATTAGGATTCACAATTTTTGATACTCCATTAATATCGATTTCTATTTTCTTTGCAAAAATCGGACAAACAAAGGATGCGTGGCGCGTAGAACGAGGTCGCATGTAAAGGTGATGTCGTCGGGCTTTGTGACTGGTTCGACACGGAATCTTCTGAGTAAACTTGACATCATTGTCTTCATTTCCATCATAGCAAATTTTTGACCTGGAAGTAAGGATGTTAACTTAATACTTCAAGGAAGCAATTCTTCTATAATGTAGTGTATCTAGATAGCAGTCATCCCTGAAAATACTATAATTGTTTAAACGCAGAGGAACCTCGATCGCCCAGGTACAACGTACATAAACGAGCAAAATTAGGCTTAAGCAAGATGCGTCCACTTTTTATTTTATGGTACGTACCTATTACATTTAAGAGGAAAACCATAAAATGGACGGCTAAGTCTTTCTAATAACAAATAGAAAACAAAAATAAAAACAGTACTCACCTGCCAAGCGCTTCAACTCTGGCAAATAGTACCTTAGTAGGTAAGTTGTTACGACGAAGTTTACGATGTTTATGATGATATATCTGTATAGATTAATGTTATTATAGGATTGTTATATCGTTACCTATGCAGTTTCTTGGTCCTGCACTAAAGGGAAGATATGCATAAGGGTGCCGCAATGTATGATTTTCAGAAATAAATCGCTCGGGAATAAACTTATTAGGCATAGGATACAGGTGTTCATTGCGATGGATGTCGAATACATGGATTTGGCATAAGGTACCTGAAGGGATTTTGTATCCACCTGAAACAATCATGAAATATTAAGCATACATTTAGTTACAATCGATTCAAGCATAATTATATTTAGTTATGATAGTTCCTGTTTTTACTAATGCTTTAACGTTTTGCGGTCTAAGAATGCACTATGCATAAAATGCATGAATAGTAAATTTTCATCTTCAATCTAACGATTAGTTTTAAATGGATAGTCCTGTATTATGCAGCGTTTGAAGTTAAGTCTGAACTATTTATAGAACGCCAATGATGATGGCAAAAACTTTAAGAATGCTAATATTAGGGTCTTTTAATTAAAGCATAGTTTTTCTTCTTTACAAGGCCAAAATAATTCAATGCCGGTGAGGGCCTCTTTTGTTGTAAGAATGTTCTGCAATTTCTACGCTTTTTAGATGGATTGAAGATCGCAGTGCCTGACGAGGTGCATCTTTTAGGCTGCTTTATATCTCCGAAGTCTGTAATATACATATTGTATCGTGTGGGAACCTAAACTTTCCCGATATAACAGTTATGTGATCAGTTCAGAGATAGGCTGATGATAAGCAATGTTAGAGGCATGAGGCCGTAAGAATTGCCACATCAAACCAAAACCCAAAAATAAACAATTTTTTTGCTTATGTTGACTTTGGCTAGGATAAAAACTTAGGAACCAGGCTATACTGCTGTGTTGTTATCACTGTTGTTGGACATGTATTGTTGAATAAAGTGTTAAAAAATAGTAACAAATACATACTTAGTTCAACTTCTTCTGTTATATATCTGGATATGAATGGTACGCTAGGGTAAAGTCTAAGAGATTCTTTGATGCAGCATTCTAAATATTTCATTTTGGTGAGATCCTCTAAAGTTGGACGTCTCTGAGATTCGCCAAAAATACTCAGCATTTCTTCATATATTGAATTCTGTAAACCCATATTCAATATAAAAATCATATTTTATTTCATTTTGTTGTACCACTTTTCTGTAAAATGAGTATCGTACGAGGGAAGATCAAAAAGTTCACGTAATGGTACTGTAACTAGTTGGAATTTAATACATCTATAAATAATAGAGTGAAAATCGGAAAGTGAACACTAACGATAATGCAAATTGAGTTTCGTGTCGTGATTAAGTTAAGATTAAGTACGAAAAACGCCACATATTATTATGGAAGAGATGTCATTTGTTTACAGGGACCCTTTTTGCCCTGGAAAAACGATGATTTATAAATGACAGCCATTTCAAGCAAGAGACCTAATTGAACACGATCAACGCTCAGGCCCACCAATTGAGGCAACTTCCTGAGACATTGTCAAATAAGTTGACAAACTTGTACTACTTTTCTATAAAATGAGTATCGTACGAGGGACGATCCAAAAGTTCACGGAAAGGTAGTGTAACTATTTGGATCTTAATACAACTACATATAAATAATAGGGTGAAAATCGGAAAGTGAACACTAATGATGGTGCAAATTGAGTTTTGTGACGTGATTAAGTTAAGATTAAGTAAAAAAAACTCCACAAATCATGGAAGAGAAGTCATTTATTTACAAGAACCCATTTTCCCCGGAAAATGATGATTTATAAGTAGCATAACCATTTCAAGCAAGGCTGAGACTCAATTGAAGACGATCAACGCTCAGGCCAATCAATTGAGGCAACTTCCTCAGACGTTCTCAAATAAGTTGACAAACTTGATCTTGAAGATGCTCGTCTGCAGAAAAAACGGAACACTGAAATAACTGGAGTATCATTTATGATCATTTGAATCATTCTCCATGACCATCATGGTGTGTCTAAGTTCAGTTCAAAATAGGTGCCAAGAATATTTACACCGCTTCAGAAATAATAGTAGGTCGAGTGTTCGCGCGAATTTTTGGATCTGTGTAGTGAGAACATGGACGAAATTATGAACCGATTTGTCACTATAAATTTGAGTCAAAGCAAGAGTCCGTGTAGTGGTATGAAAAAGGCGCAGCAACACCTAAGAAGTTCAAGGTGTACAATCAGCTGGAATGATTGTGGCTTTAGTTTTTGGGATTCAGAAAGTATTTTATTGATTGATTATAAAGATCAAGGTGACAATAGCGGGACAGTATTACGCTACGCTACTAGAAAAATTAAAAGATGTGATGAAAAGAAAAAGAAGAGGAAAGTGTTTTCGAGGTGTACTCTTTTTGCACAACACACTCCTTCACACAAGTCGTGTGGCAAAGGCTTCCTTACACAAGTGCAGTTTCGAAACTTTAAACCGCTATTATAGTTCAGATTTAGCTCCTTCTGATAATTATTTGTTCTCAAATATGAAAAAAGAGCTTCTGGGAAAGATATTTACTGATGACGAAAAAGTGACGTCAGTAATTTCTGTCTGTTTTTATGGCCTTGACAAAACATTTTTAACTTCCCGAAAAGAAAATTGAAAATTTTCAAAAATAGGGAAGTTATTGGTTTCACCCCGATTTTCGAAAATCGGGAAGAATTTGAATTTTGAAAAACTGTTTTTTTTGGAATAACTTTTAAACAGCTTCACCGATCGATTTCAAAAACTAATCAGCTCTTAACCTTCAAAAATGACATAATGATATAAGCTATTCAAACGATCTGACAATTGTATAGGCTTATTGGATAATATATCGAAAATGTTAATATGAAATAAATAAATAATTTAATTTCTTAAAGAAAGAAATTAGTAAATAAAGGTTTAAATACCGCAAACTTTTTGACCTCTTCTGGTATCATACAGTTACGTATGAGATGATGGGGTTCCAATTGTAAATAACGGTATGTTTTTGTTTCAATTTTGATACAGTGTGATAAACAGATGTATTCGCTAATCACCCCGTTAAACTATTTTTATAGTAGAGGAACATACAAGCTAGTCGGCGTTAGAATAATTGGTTACTGCAGGCATCCACGGACTTCTAGGTACTTTAAACAAAGAAGTTACATTGAAATAATACTAGTTTTTACGGAATTTATCGCGTATATTTAACTTTTTAAATACCCGACGTTTCGAACGCTTTACAGCACTCATGGTCACGGGCGGGACTGAAATGTTCAACGTCCATAGGTCATAGTTAACCGCGGTTACCATAGATTAAAATTTAACTTTTGTTCCGATCTATACAATATGAACTTATGGTATCTTGTAGTCTTGCAGTTGTATGCTTGGGTTGGGATTTAATTTTATTTATTATCGGATCCCAAGCAGATGGTAGCACCCAGCCATCTTCTCTATTGAAATTAGGAAGTTTTTGATTTCAATAGCCTCGCGAATCATCCTTGGAAGGAATCGGTGTTCTTTAGCGAGGATTTGCGGTCTATCAAATCTGATATAGTGACGGGGGCGATCCTGTACGTGTTCACAGACTGCAGACTTCCCGGAGCGTCGATTCTTCACATCAGCTATATGTTCTTTAACGCGGGTTTTTATTGATCTTTTAGTTTGTCCTATGTAGGAGAGACTACATTCACAATCAAGCTTGTACACTCCTGCATCTTGCAGAGGGACATTACACTTGACTGATGGTAAAAACTGACCAATCTTCTTCAGCGGATTGAAGTATGTTTTGATGGAAGCACGCTTTAAGATGTAGCCAATCTTGTCAGTGACTCCTCTAACATATGGCAGTACAGCAGGTAAACGCTCGACTGTGGCCGGCTTCATTCGTTCACTGTGACGTAGGCGCGGGACTCGAAGCTTGTTGTCATGCAAAATTTGCTTGACATGGTGGAGCTCGGCAGCCAGGTGTTTACTGTCACAGATCCCTCGTGCTCTCTGAAACAAAGATTTACCCACGGTAGCTAACTGTGAAGGATGGTGGTGAGAATCACCGTTTAAATATCTATCTGTATGGGTATTTTTTCTATACACAGTATGGCTCAAGGTGTTATTAGGATTCCTAATTACTAACACATCTAGAAAATCTTAGGAATTGTTTGCCTCTAATTCCATTGTGAACTGAATTTTAGAATTTATAGAGTTAAGATGGTCTAAAAATGCAGTTACTTTATCTAAAGGTAGAATTGTGAAAGTTTCGTCTACGTACCGCTTGTAGAACCTTGGATTTATGGGAGAACTAAGCAGGGCTTTCTCCTCAAAGTCTTCCATGAATATGTCGGCGACAATGGGAGATGCAGGTGAGCCCATCGCCACACCATCTACTTGCTTGTAGAACTCCTCTTCCACAATAGGTAGCCAGATGTAAGGCAGTGTCTGAGTAATACTGCATATTCTACGGGCATGTTGTTTTCTTCCAGTCTTCTAGTTACTATTGAGATGCAGTCTTCAACAGGTAAGCATGTAAACAATGTCTGCACATCAAAACTGACCATAGTTTCATTGTCTGCCAGATGTAGATCTTTAATCTCGCTGACAAAATGGTAGGAATCCTTTATGTGTGCTCTTGTATGTCCCCTGAGCGGTGAGAGTATTTTCGCTAAGTGTTGAGCCAATCTGTAAGTTGGTGAATCGATTTGTCTCACTATGGGACGTAATGGAGCATTGGGCTTGTGTATTTTTGGTAACCCATAAAATTTTGGTGATTTGGCTCACGTAGGTATTATCCATTTTACGTCCAGATTTAATTAAATAAAAAAAGAAACGTCGGGTATTTAAAAAGTTAAATATACGCGATAAATTCCGTAAAAACTAGTATTATTTCAATGTGTAGTGTTCGCGTAAATAAAAATAGTTACAAATAAGTTGTGACCTCTACCATCTACGATGAATTTCCAGTACTGAAATATATTTCCAAAGCCTTTAAGCAGAAGATGCAGCATCGATAGCAATAGGTAAGGTGATACTTTCCTAAATGAACTACTAGACGGTTAAGGGGTCCAACCGTTTAATAAATAAATAAAACCAGCGGCGAGAGATCAGATGAAAAAAGGTAAAATACCTAGAATTGATGTACAGGTTAAGTACAGTTTTAATCACAAAATAAATCATCATAAATTTCTATCTCGTACAAAATATATGAAGACTTTACCAAGCATCTGAAGTACATCGGTAATGCCTGTAAATGTTGAATTAATAGCTTACTTGAATTTCTGGCTCGTTAGCAATTCGCGTTATCATAAAAGAAAGCGCCATTGCCGTTGTGTCATGGCCCTTAAAAGAAAGAAATATTTATTTTATTGAATAATATATTATAACTCAAAGTAATTGGTGCATTTCTTTAAATATATGTTAATTGTTTATTTTAAAATTATAGTTCTTCGTTAAATTTTGTATGTACTTACCTCAAACATAAATGTATCAACTTCTGCCCTGATACCCTCAACATCTATCATTCCTTGCTTCTCATTTTCCAGAAGTAAATCTAGCATTGCTAGTCTACCTGTTTTACCGTATACTTCATCATCTCCATCTGCATTTGTTATAACATTATTGTTTGTCAAATAGTCTTTTCTCTCCTGTATTATTTTCATGGTAAATTCATGCAGATCTTTAATGGCCTTTTTTTGAATTTTCCCAATTTTAGAGCAAGCAAATATAGCGTCGATGTATAACCAAACTCTTACTAATCTTTGGCCAACAGATTGGCCAATCCTGTGAATAGCTTGAAAATATTTATCTGATATTATTTGTTGGTCTTTGTTCATTGAGGTACCCATAGCAGTTTCTAAAATAATAACCACATTACTATATGAACAAGTTGTTTACAAAATGCTTAATATAATATCAATGTAATTGGTATTGTAGTTAACAGAACAATTTATATAAATTATTTACATATATTTTATCGACACACTAACTGCTACGTCGAACAACAGTAATAATATCGATTCAAATGAAATTATACTACTACAATAATATCAATTTTAAAAAATAACCACACTGTCTTTGTACCCGCTGCATGCTACATTTACTTTTCTGAGATTAATATCCAAAATATTGATTTTCAGTTGTCCACGATATGCATGAACATTTATGTATTCATAGGCCGGTATATATATAAGTATTATGATAATTACTTAAAGAGTATAATATAACCATTACGTTTATGATTGTAAAGATTAAACCTATTCATCTTTTTAAAACAATAATTGCCAATGAGATAGTTAAAGATTGTAGAAAGCTGTAAAGTAAGTAAAGTTACAGCCTATGTATACATCCCACTGCTGAGCACAGGCCTCCTCTCATTTCTGAGAGGGTTTTAGGGCGAGGAGTAGTCCGCCGCGCTGCCCCAATGCGTGTTAGCGAACTTTCACATGTCTTTGAAATTGATTTTTTTTTCTTATTTCTCAGACATGCAGGTTTCCTCACGATGTTTTCCTTCACCGTCGAGCACAACAAAATTGCAATTTACAATTTCATTGGTACCGGCGGGGATCGAACCCGGTTTGCTCGCGTATTGTGAAATTTACAGCGAGCGCTGACCATCTGAGCTACCACGGCTCGAAAGCTGTGTATTACGTTTATTAAAAACATTTAAATTAATACATTTCAGTTAACACTTTGTTTCAAAAATTTTTGCTGTTCATTGTTATCTTGTTTATATGAGATAAGAAATAGTAAACACATGTAAAAATAATGTTTAACTAGTCTGACATTACGGAAAACAGATTTGCAGTGATTGCTTTGCGCAAAGTGGACTTGGAGCCGTCATTAATTTTGAAGGACCACACAATACTATGGAAAGGCTCACTAACAATTCTTCCGATAAAGATCATTAAAGATAGAGGTATATTTATTAAGTTAGAACCAGACATTCCATGAACGCGGTAAAAGTGAGAATGCCATAAAATCCTATAAGTTACAAAAGTATTTTAGCATGAATTGAAGAGAGGCGCTAGGACTCTGTCGCAAATGATACAACATCTGAAACAGGGTTAAGCTTTCGATACACAGGGCATCCCTAAATAAGTTCTCGTAGCTAACGATAATGGATTGATCAAATCGCTTGGAGAATGAAGATAAAGAAACGTAGACAACAGATAATATTTGAAATGTTGAATGCTGACGATGAACATTTTGAAAAGTTCAACACAGTCATGATTTTGAATCAATCATGGAATTATTGTGAAAAAAGTCATCTTCAGCCAAAGTTTATCATTTGACTATCTTATATGTGTTATGTAGTCATTTTCAAAAATATGTATCATGGCCTTTCTAGCAAAACTCTGATTCTGGTCACACCTCCTGAATTTGTGGTCATTGCAACAATAAGTCCTTTTCAAGGGTCCAACAATTTGATATGTATAAAAATATTATGTGTATAAAAATTTTATACATAAATGATTTTTAATTCAAAACCTTTCAAGCAATTAAATGGTAGATAAACATAATTTATATTACATTAAAGAAATAAACAGGTCATTGCAAATTTAAATTTGTTGTTTCATCATAGAGTACATTTTTCATTGACTTGTTAATAGACAGTAAATACAATTTAACTTTTTGATATTCACAGTACCAATTTTTACTCTCCGAATCTCAAATATTTTAAAATAATGTAACTTACTTTCATAATTGAAAAAAAAAATGTTTTATAAATTTTACTTTTATTATTAGCCCGTAACAGTTTTCTCTTTGATAGAGCTCCATCCACCATTTGAAGAACTTATTGTAATGAGGCGAAATGAGGTAATTGATTTTTTCAATCTGGCATGAAACGGCAGTATAAAGTTATTAATCTAAAATTGTTTTGAATTAAAATTGCTATACATACCACACATGACGTTCAGCGTTGTTTTTGTTATTAAAGGCAGTACATCAGTTTGGTTGTTGCCAACTTCGGCCTGGATTTTCACCAATAGCTCTTCTGCTTGTTCAATCATCGTACGAGAATACTTCTTCAAAATATTGAAATGGAATGTACGTGTCAACATTTTACGTCGTTGATGCCATTTATTGCCTAGGCAGTAAAGAAATATCTCAAAATGGGTTAATTCATTCATATTTAATAAATAATTAGAACACTTAAACATAAGTAAACATGTTTCAATTTTTTAAAATTTTTTACCAACATTTTAAAAGAAACAATTAATTGGGAATTAATTGGGATTGGGCTAAGCGCTCGCTGTAAATTTCACAGTACGCGAGAAATCCGGGATTGATCCCCGTCGGCAACAATGAAGCTGTGTATATTACAAACAAAGCACAGTAAGTGCTGATTTAGGTGCCTTGTCGAACAGATTTCAAATTTATGATCCCATTGTAAAGCCTACAAAAATAGCCGAGGTTTTATTTTGGCTATAAATTTCATATCAATATTCGTGTCGTGTTTATCCAGTTCACACTTCATCGTATACCGGTGCTTATGGGAAAATTTTGTAGGTTCTATCAACGCAGTAGTAAATTTAGTAGTGTAAACAATACATTGTTTAGGTCAAAAAGTCAAAAATATGGCAAGTTGATGAACATTACCTAGTTTATAATGTCCATTAAATTTATCTATATATTAATACGGGGAGGGAAATTTGTACCCGTTTTTACGAGGGCTGCACTGAAAATTTCGGGAATCAAGGAAGTGCACATTACTATATAAAAATGTATTTATTGCTTTTCGAATTATTCTCCGCGAAATTTGACACATTTTTCCATACGATGGAACCAATCATTGAAGCAACCATTCCATTGGGGTCTCCAAAATGGCTGTTTTCTAGGCGTCCACAGCTTCTTCAGGTGATGAAAATCTCTGTCCACGCAATTTATTCTTTATTTTAGGGAAAGTATAGAAATAATTAGGGCTTAGGTCGGGGCTGTACAGCGGATGGTCTAATAATTCTATGTTTTCTTGCTCTAAAAACTCTTTTGTTCTGTGTGGTGTGAGAACTCGCATTGTCGTGATGGAGGATGATGCGGCGGTTGCAGTTCTCTTTACGGAGTTCAGAAACGACTTGTGGCAAACAAAAGCTAGCATACCATTCTGCGTTAACCGTTCTTTGTCCCTCAAGTAGAGGAATAGTCGTAACATGGCCGGTTTTGGAGACAAACGTGGCCACCATATTTTTTGCAACACTACGTGAACGAACAATTTTTGTTGGCTTTAACTCATTTTCGAACACCCAAACTCGTGACTGGTTTTTTGTTTCGGGTTCGTACGCGTATATCCAGGATTCGTCACCTGATACGATATTGTATACAGCATTTGAGGATCCTGCGTGGAATCTTTCAAGAGTTCTGACGCACGAAGTAACGCGAGCCGCTTTTTGCTCTTCATAGAGCGAATGCGGTATCCATCGGGAAAACAACTTTTTTACACCTAATTGTTCACGCAAGATTATTTGTATTTGACTCATGCCAATGTATAAAGTTGCCTGAATTTCGCTGTATATCACATGTCGATCTTCCTAAATCAGCTTACGCACAGCATCAACGTTTTCTTGGGTGACTGCAGTTGTTGGACGACCTTGATGGGGATCATCACTGAGCTTGACACGTCCACGGTGAAATTCAGCAAACCAGCAATAAATTGTGGTTTTGGATGAGTCTTCGTCACCAAATGCGGAAATCATCCGATCAACACACTGTTTTTGTGTTAAACCACTTCGAAAGTCATAATAAATCATCGCTCTTGAATTTTCTCGAGTCAATTCCATTTTCTCAACGACTAAACCTTGTGACAAGACCGAGAATCTTTTTTTTTAAATAAATAAATGGTATTCGATTTTTAAAACCAAGGAGTTTTCAATCAAAAAGATTTTAATATGACAGGAAAAGTGGAAATATTCCATTCCCGATACTTTTAGTGCAGCCTGTGTAAGTATGTTGCGCGTATGGACAAATGTGAGATTTTGCATAGTTAAAGTTTATATGGAGAAGAAGTGCAAAAACATAAATTTATATAAAATAAATGTTACAAATACATAAATAAAATAAAATATAACATTCATTTGTTTTCTCACACCTAGCTGGTGTGAGAAACATCTAACGTTCATACTGCTAATGCCAACCACATAATTGTCACTTGGATAAATTATGTCGTACGTTGACATTCATGTCAATGTCTAAGAGTAAGTAAAAGCATATGTACCATGTTATTACTCTAAGCTCTCCAATTAGTAATTACTCTAAGCTAACAACTACTACGGAGTCGCACAAAATAGGGACTGTCGCCCAAGAGTTTTAAAAATTTGCCAGTAAATAATAACTGACAGATTGACCATTGACTTAAATATATACTAATACCATAAATCATCATCATCATCATCATTACAGCACTTCACAAGTCCACTGCTGAACATAGGCCTCCCCCCAAGTAACGCCACAAAGCACGGTCCTGAGCCACGTCACTCCATCTAGTGGGGGGTCGCCCTACACTACGCCTACCGGTACGAGGCTGCCACTCGAGAACCTTTCTTCCCCATCGGTTATCGGTTCTTCGAGCTATATGGCCGGCCCATTGCCACTTCAGCTTACTAATACTATAAATATAGGATAATAATAGACGGCCATAGTGTACAAGGGAGAAGAAAATTCCTTATGACAATAGAGCAAAGATTTTGATTGACAGGTCGGCATAAGTCGGCACGCAAAGAACGAGCTGCTAGGTATTTTGGATTTTTCTAAGTATAATAGTGGTTATTTTTAGTAAGTACAATGTTATTGGAATTGACATGATCGGTTAAACGTGAACCAAGCCATTCGGCGTGATGGGCGTTAAAGTCGCCGAGGATCACGATCTCTGCGGAGGGGATCTGCTGTAGCAACGAATCTGTAGCCATTTGGACGTGGTCGAAGAGTCGGTCTGTTTCGGTATTACCGCTATGGGACCTATAGAGGCACCCGTAGACGCGCGGATGGTCGTCGCTGTCTACGCGTAGCCAAAGGATGGACAGGTCCGAACCTTCAAGTCTGCCGAGGCGTCGAGAACAGATGTCCTCTCTGACGTAAACGCAAACTCCAGCCCTAGGCACAAAGGAGTGTTCCAGTTTGTACCCCGGGTAGGAGAGATACGAGACATCAGCCGGAGAGGACACCTGCGTCTCGGTCAAAAAGAGCAGAGCCGGCCTCGTCGTCTCGAGATGGTAGTGGATGGCGTTTAGGTTAGAGTGAGGTCCCCTGATATTGCATAAATTCACGGACAGCGTGGCAGGGGTCGCCTTGGTCTTGTTGCTCCGTTTGCCCCGAACAGTTGTAGTCTTGAGCGGAATTTTGCCCCCCCCCCCAGAATACGCGGTGCAGCCTGAGCACCTACGCTCAGAAGTGGAGAAACATGTTCGTGGATGCTCAGCAGGGGATTCTCCAGGGGTGCTGGTACCCTCCTGGGGTAGTCTATCATTATTTAATTGCGCTACCAAGTTGATGGGGGGGGGAGGTATTTGGGCCTCCGGGGGCTTCTTCACGCCGGTATTCTGTGAGGTCGTGGTACCACCCCGGTTTGAGCCGGCCCATACGTGCAACAGCAAAGCTGCCGCGTGGCTCTACCATGATCATTAAAATATTCAAACAAATATGTGTTTTATGTTTAAAACTATTATAAAGGATTCCAGATTGAATTTTGGTAACGTCGGCCATTATTATTACATTGCCCAAGTGTATGCGTAAGCCAATTCCTTACTCTTATAGTCCGATGGAACGGTAATCCGAGACGACGGAAGAGAGATAACGGCTTCACACTTCACATCACAACATACTTCCGGAGGTATGGTGGTGAAAGCTCGCCAACTTCAATAAGTTAGATTAGATATCAATATGCCGGGCTGCTACTGAGAATTTTGTGACAGAAAAACCTAATAAATGATTCTTGGCCCGACTCGGGGTTCGAACCCAAAACCACATGATCGACAACCGTTAAACCAAGAAGACAGTCAAAAGTGTTAAATCTATAATAATTTTAAAGGTCCCGCTTTAAGGAGAAAATAAATGGTCACTTTACTCATACCTATAACAAATTTTTACTTATCAGTATGTATTATAAACATACTTTGTACCTATATATACATGTTTCATCATCATCAGCCTGCGGCAGTCCACTGCTAGACATAGGCCTCTCCTAAGGTGCGCAACTTAGCCCGATCTACGGCTACACGCATCCAGTTTCTACCAGCCACCTTGCGCAGATTGTCGCTCCATCTGGTCAGGGGGCGTCCCACACTACGTTTGCCTAGTCGCGGTCTCCACTCCATAACACGTCTACTCCACCGGTTGTCACCTCTGCGACAGACATGGCCAGCTCATTGCCACTTCAGCTTACAAACACGGAAAGCTATGTCAGTAACCTTGGTTCTCCGGCGGATTTCTCCATTTCGAAATTTGTCTACCAGAGAAACTCCGAGCATAGCTCTTTCCATTGCTCGCTGAGCGACTTTAAGCTTTTGGAGCAGACGTATCGTCAGTGTCCACGTTTCGGCACCATAAGTGACAGAACGCACTGGTTGAAGACTTTTGTCTTCAGACTTTGCGTTATGGACGACGTGAAAACCCGACGGAGCTTTCTAAATGCTGCCCAGCCTAACTGAATCCTCCGATCGGCTTCTTTCTCGAAGTTATTCTTACCTAGTTGCAATATCTGCCCGAGGTAGGTGTATTCTGGACAACTTCGAGAATTTCACCATCAAGAGTAATTGGAACTGGCATGACGTAATCGTTGAACAGAACTTTTTTCTTGTTCAGATTCATGCACAGACCAACACATTGGGAGGAATCATTTAGTCTGTCCATATCTTCATATCCTGAAGTTCCTGCAGCGATTCTGCCATGACGACGATATCATCAGCAAAGCGTAAGTATGAGATGTACTCACCGTTTACGTTAATACCGCGTCCTTTCCTGTCTAACGTCTTATCTAACATCCCCCTGTCTCACTCCGCGATGCAACTGGATTGGTTTTGTTTGACTGTCCTGTACTTGGACGGACAGCGTACTGGTGTTGTAAAGGCATCTCAGCACTTCGATGTACCGCCAGTCAATTTGACACCGCTGCAAAGAATCTAGAACAGCCCAAGTTTCAATG